GAAAAAAAAAAAAAAAGGAAGAGGTGCTGAGAATTTTCCAGAGACTTACTTTTCAGTTTTTCCATTTTCGCCACCTGAGTCCACTTTAGCTGCTTCACTGCTATATAATTCATGTCTCTGCAAAAGAAATGAGAAATCAGTTTTAAGTTTTACACCCGAGCACATAGAAGAAAATGAAAATGATACCATGTAATACTCTCACAGCACAATGAATGGATGTACTGACTAAATCTCCTATACCATGGGTGTGTGTTTTTGTTGTTTCTTTCTTCTTTCATCTATTTTATCCAGTCTTAAAAGGATTGCTAATTCCCTCTCAATGTTTACCATGTTCAGAGAAACTGAGGTTATAGTGGCCAAGTGCCCAGGGGGAAGCGCCGCTAAGGGGGTCGCTAAGGGCTAACGTCCTCGCTGCTCCAGGGGCTAACACCGCTAACAGGCCTAGCGCCGCTGCAAAGCTTAGCGCGGGGTTAACGACCCCTGAGGCTCCATCGCGTGGGAAGAGTAGTGCCGCTAAGGGCATAGCGCCTCCAGTACCAGCATGCCTAGCGCCGCTGCAAGGCCTAGCGCGGGGTTAACGACCCCAGAGGCTCCATCGCATGGAAGACTAGCGCCGCTAATCCGCCAGACCAACACAACTTGCGCCACGTCAGGCTTAGCGCCGCTAGTGTATCTTCCTAGAGCCGTTAGTTCCTGCTGCCAGTCAGTCGAGACACATCATGCCTAGCGGCGCTAGCACCCCTAGCGCCGCTAGTCCCTGCTTCCAGCCAGTCGAGACACGTCATGCCTAGCGGCACTAGCACCCCTAGCGCTGCTACACCCTGCTTTTTTCAGTGATGCTTAGGCCGTGGAGGGTGTCGTCCCGGTCATAGTATTGAGTTGAGCTAGAGTATATCATTCGCGACTGAGGAACCGAGCATGTGGTTGCCCGTTGCGCTTTTGTATGCCGATTATCGGTCGTTTGAACCACAGTTTTGATCTATAAATTTAATTTTACCGATAAAAAAAAAAGGTTATTAATGGCTTTTGCCAGACTTTTATTACTGCACATTTCTACTGACCTTACCTAGCCTAAGTGTTAAAACACTCCCTGGAAAAAGCATTAAAAAGAAGTTCAAAGGCTCCAGGTATGCACATAACATTTCTCCATTTCTTTGATGAAGACAAGCTTCACCTATGCATAGGACCACGACCAACTAGAAAGAACATAATATAACTAAATTTTTAACACAGAGCAGTTGCTACATTGAGGGTAACAATGTACTAACCAGGAGCCCAAGACACCAATTATGTCCCACAGGTAAGTATGAACTCCTTTGCGTAGGACTTGTACCTGCAATGGAGCATGAAAAATTTATGCACAGAGTAACGACCCCACCACAACAAAAGGATGAAAGGATGATCAAACTGTATTTTTGAGGGACCGGCCAACAGGTATACTTCCCGAGGAAGACAACAGTAGAGAAAAAATACGATCACGTATAACACAGAGATTTTAAGAATACAACGCACCTGCCTTCACTTTAAATATTAAGCTACATGTTAGCACATGAAAGTAAGCAACAATAAATTTCAGTTTCAAATAGTAATTAGTACATCAGACAAGCAATGGAGTAACAAGAACAGACCTTTTACCAGATTCTTGGTTGCGTGTGCTCCTAGTCGATAAAACCTCGAAATGAACATAATCTTTCAACCTGAAAAGCCCCCACAAAGAAAGAGAAAAGGATAATCGAGCAATTTGAAGAGGACGCTATGCAGAACATAACTCCATATTTCAAACTAAACCCAACACATCACTTGCCAAACCAGGCTTGCCTTGCTTGGTCACTTTTTACAAACTAAGCTTCCCATAACTCAAACTCCATTCAACTAGGCTCAGTTATGCACATTCAAAACCAAAACCCTAGTTTCAAAGACGATATATAACGAGCACAGATATCACAGTGGATTGCAGTGGCTGTACTCAAAATACAACCTTTGACAAGACGTATTAACATACATATAGAAAAAAGGTTTAATCACCTATTCACCTCTCAACTCCATACATCGCCTCACAGAAAAATTACGAAATCCGAAACTAACAAGTAACAATGAGATCATAGAAGAACAATAATAAGAAGAAAGATGAAGCTTTCTGAAATAATATTTTCCGGTACAAGTTCGAGAACAATATTACCTGGACTAGCTGGAGCAGATACGGCGGTGTAAGCCGGAGCAGACGGTGGCGTCGACTTCTCGCAGAAATGACACTCAACGAACCTTGAGCCGAGTGATCGATTGAGCTAAAAGGCTCACAACTCACAAATGATGCAAACGACGTCGTTAGAGATTAACTATCAGAGAAGAAGATACCAGAGAACGGAGAACCTCCGTGAGAATGGGCCAATAAGTGCTTGAAATTAAATGGGCTCCCATTATAATTTTGTTGGGCCTAAAGAGTGAGTCCAAGCTAAAATCATAGTATGTTACTGGGCTTACAAAAGTAGTTAAATTTGTCAATACGAGCTCGGTTCATGTGGACTGAGTACAGTGGATAAGGAACACCTGAATCTTAACACGTTAATTGAAATTAGTATTTTATTTTATGGTACGGCCAAAAAATACGGAAATAAATTACCGGCCCTACTGGTAGCCTGTGACCCTTTTAATCAGTCCAAGCGCGTGGCATTTTGTTTTCTCTTTGTGTTTTAAAGCCGCGCGTAAGCTTTTTTTTTCGTTTTTTTTTTTAATTTCAGTTTTCAAACTATTGCCTTTTGAAGTAAAACCTCGTCATTATCAACTTGAGAATAAAAGTTCGCGTACCTTTTTTTTTCCTTCATTTCCTCTTTTCAATAATTGTTTGGATCATTTCCATTCAAATTATTATAATTTAGGGTGCATTTGTAATAAGTTTAATCTTTCTGCTTTATTGATGGTAATTTTGTTTCTTATTTCAAAAATTGTGACATGCTAAATTTTATGTTTAAATGAATAATATTTACTCCAAAAAAATATAAATAAGTTTTAGGGATACGGTCCCGTTACGGAACCATTCCGTTGAAATTTGTAACCGTTAGATCAACTATATCCGACGATTGCATGATGATCTAACGGTTACAAACCCGACATAATAGTTCTGTAACGCGACCGTAGCATTTCCTTAAGTTTTAGGATTAATTATGACTTACTTCTTTTTTTTTTTTTTTTGGTACAGGGACTTTCCGGTTTCCGGATTCACAGGGGAACCGACTAATCCGGAATCGAGCCGGGTAGGACCAAGGGTGGCAAAACTCTCCCTCAAGAGTTTTAACACTGCTGCATTCTAAGGGCTCGAACTCGAGACCACTGGTTAAGCTGGAAGAGACCCAAGCCATCTCATTCAAGCGCTCTTAGGTAATTATGACTGACTTCTAAAATTACAATTATGGATGGATCGAAAATATTGAACCCTATAATAAACCTACATTTAACTTTTTACAAATAAGAAAAAATAAAATATTAATTTATAATTATAAAACGGACCCGTAAAAAAAAAGGACGATTATGTTATTCAAAAAATATATGGAATCATCGGATGATTTTCTTATAGAGCCATTAATCACTTAATATATTGACACATATCCAAATTGTATTAATTGTAGGACACTTGTTGATACACTATTTGTGAATAGTTGTGAATGGCTACATAAGTCGAGTCATCCGATGACTCCATAGCAAAACTGTTATATTATTAACAATGTATAATTTGATTTATACTTGGTTACTTAATGTTAATTTACTTTTGTTGTCATGTGTATTGCATGTTGTTATATGTTTTTTAGCAACGTACTTAGTTACCGTAGTGGCATGAGATACGAAAATTAGTTGTATAACATTCAAATAGATGAGATATGAAAAGTCGGTTTTCTTGTGGATCGAGTTGTTTTGTGTATTATAACCTAGCGAATGTTTAGGATTCGGTCATTGCACAAGAAGTATATTTAGCTATTTATAGCAACTTTCTTGAGTTCGTATTTCAAGTTAAGTACGGCCTCATTTAATTCAAAGTATCTTTTAAAGGGCGGTTTATGACAGTTGGCGCGGTGTCATCTGCTTTGGATTTTGGGACTTCAGTAGTCGGTCCGTCTTGTTGTCACATCGGTCAAAAGGAAGTGACTTTGGTTATCTGTGTAAATCGGTTCTTCTTGTAAGTGAACCGAGGCAAACTCGGTCTGATCCGAGTTGCCATAAGAGCATCAGTAATGCTTTGGGTCCATTCAAAGAAATATACTGGCCACGTAAGAAATAGGCTCAGTTCAAAAAACTATATGCTGCAATGTAACTACAAGTGGGCTGGGTCTTGCTGACGTGACAACAGAAAAAAGAGACTCAGTCTATCCTTAAGTCTAATTTAGACCAAGCAGAGACCTAGTCTCTTTGCATTGGAATCAAAGCATTGCAGATGCTCTAAGTTTGCGAGCATTGGAACTCTTTGAACTTGGCCTTCTATTTAATTAGATAAATCACGACTCAGACCAGGTCGGTAGTCAACACATGAGTTAGTCCTCGCTACTATAAAAGTTATTATATTTTTTTTTTCATTTGGTTGGAAAATATAAAACCGCCATTAGCATGAGTCAACAATTAGCTGCATCCTCTAATTTGATATTAAATATTATTTTTTCAAATAAAATTATTTTTTGTATTTTGCCAAGTGGTACATTGCATTTGACAATTTCACACTTTTGTTGGGCTGGAAAGATCTGTACGTCAAGCTAACTGGAAGAAGTACATAAGCACTATATGACCACAACCCAGACGGATCGCGTTTAATTCACGCGCCACCCTGGAGCCGGCTAAATAGGCTTTTTCTTCCAATAACGACGATGTTGACGGTTAAAAACACGGCTTTGGTGTCACCAACAACGTAGAAAAAAGTGAAATGATAATTATTAGGAAAAAAAAAAAAAGTAAACCCAAACAGCCCATTAAAAAACCTTTTTTTTTCTTCTCCTCTTTCTTACACCCTTCGTACATATCCCAATTGCCGAGCTTTTGGGCAAATCAATATCTGCACGAACAGGATTTATTTAAGAAAATAATAAAAAAAAAGGATACAGAAGTTTTCAGCCCTTTTCAGTTGGTGTTCGAGAAAAAATTAAAAATAAAAAAAAAAATTATTGATTGGCTTGTTTGGTCCATTTTTGTTGATTTTTATGGAGCTAAAAAATGGAGCTTTCTACTGTTGTTGTGCAGTTTATGTGTTTTTTTTCAGCTCAGTTGCGTTTGCAGGTGATATAGTTCACCAAGACGATGTTGCTCCAAAGAGACCGGGCTGTGATAACAACTTCGTACTGGTAATGACTCTCTGTGTGTGTGTGTGTGTGTGTGTGTTTTGTTCTGTTTATGTATAAGTTGAAAAATCAATCTTTTTCATTTTGGGTATTTTATCTGCTCTGATTTATGGAGGTTGTGATTTTGGGTTTTTTATATTTTTCAACACTGTTTCTGGCTGACTGTTGGTGCTGGCAAAAGGGCATTTGATGTTGTTAATATTGTGAAGCTCCTGATGTTTATAGTATGATTCAAGTTTTTATTTTTATTTTTTTTCTTTGTTTTATCTGTCTCTCTTATTGTTATGATTCTTTGTTTGGTTTTCTGGTACGCATTCGTTTTCTTGATTTTGTTTGTCAGCTTGACTTTTATCGTATACAGTATCTGGAGTTACTTAAAGTGCTAATCTTTCTCACAGCTACGTATTTTTGACTTTTTTGAGCTGGATATGCTAAGTTAACTATTGTATACAGCTTAGTTCAAGCTAATTGTCGAAATATTGTGGCCATATATGACTGATAATCTGATTGGACTTTAAACGAAACCATGAATGTAACTGTTTCTTTGGATTTGGAATATCGATGAATAGGCAAATGCTATAAGTACCCTTTATGGTTTTGGTAGCTTGTGAATACAGAGAGGGAATGAGCTTGGAGTTGCCCCTTTGTGGGATTCGTTGTTATTTTTTGCTTTAATTCCAATTCTGAGAAAATTTCATAACATAAATGTTTTTGCTAATGGGGACATGTTCACTCCCTCGTTTTGCATCTGTGTATTTTGGCACGAGTTACTTATCTCGTGAGGTCAGAAAGCTTCCACTGGGTCTTTAGATCACATTTCCATTTGTTATTTTTTTGACACTTGTCATTTATCCAACAAAGCGGAATATGCAGAGTGGGTTGGTAATTGTTCAGAAAATTGGATGGGCAGAAAACGACGCGTGTTATATTTTCCTTACAACTTGGTTTGGATTTTTTGCATCGTATATACTATACCATGCCCATGTCCTTAGGTAAGTCCTGGAAGAAAATACAATCTAAGGAGTGTTGGCACTTGGAATTTCAGTCATTTACTATGCCTCGGTTTTCCAAAACTTCTCTGGCAATAGTACCTTACAAAGTTTCCTATTTTAGGCTTTGTATTGTAACATATCTACTCACACACTAACCTGCGAAAAAAAAAAATGCTTTAAGCTGACACTTGGGACAGACTTTTGGACTGACGTCTTAATACATATATATAATCGACTGACATGAGGTTTTTCCTTAACATGGATATGGAGTTGCAGTTGTTTGTAGATTCATGCATGTCATGCAATCTAACAACTTCTTTTGTTATGATTTGCTCACTCTTCAATAGGTCAAAGTACCTGTTTGGGAAGATGGAAAAGAAGTAATGGAGTTCGTGGGGGTTGGTGCCCGATTTGGCCCTACATTGGAATCAAAGGAGAAACGTGCCAACCAGACTCGAGTTGCTCTTGCTGACCCTCCTGATTGTTGTAGTAGACCCAGGAATCAGGTTTTTTTTCCTTCTTTTTGTAGTATATAATATATAATCACGACAAATTTATCCTTGTTAGCATTATAATTTTTTTTTTTTTTTTTTTTCCTTCTGGGAGTCTTTGAAGAAGTTGTAATTTAGCCTTTTTCCTGATGTTTTCCAGCTGGCGGGTGAAGTTATCTTGGTGCACAGGGGAAATTGCAGTTTTGTCACCAAAGCAAATGTCGCCGAAGCTGCTGGTGCTTCGGCTCTAGTCATCATAAACAATGCGAAAGGTTTATATTATGTCTGCATTATCCATCTTATCAGTTCATTACATGTAGTTTCTATCAGCATTTTCTTTTATCTTTGAAATTGTTCTCGGGAGTAGTGTATTGGATCATTAAAAAAGAAGATAAATTATTTTCTGGGTAAATGAACAAGGCACTGTCAGTTTTTGAATGACAGAAAAGGAAAGTTTTTCGGCGTCTTACAATGCAAAAGTTTTGTTTCTAGTTCTACTTATTTAATGAGAGTCCAAAAGTACAGGGAGGTTTGCTTTTGCTGATTCTACTTCTTTTTTGACTTAACAAGCACTTAACACACATTTACAACTTATTTGTGAAACAAACTCTCTTTGCTACAAAATCTCCGGTTATGAACTACTTCTGTTTCTGCTCGGATCAGTGGTGTACCCAGCCGGCTTGCATAGGCGAGCCAGCCCGAACCTTAAGTTATTTTTCCTAGTCCAAGTCTTGTTAACACAAATTAGCCAAAATCTTCTAACCCGAAGCCCATTTTTGTATTTTTCTTGGGGTGTGCCAGGTGCCAGGGGCTCCCCTTTAGCTACGCCTTATCTTATGAGCAAACTTCATCTTTCATACAGCAATTGGATTCCTTAAATTCCTAATTTGAAAAGATTTCTCTTGCACTGCCCCCTTCCAAGGTGTTTCGAAGAGAAAAATAATTTATTCGCCCATAAACTCACCTATGGAAAGCCATGAACTCAATTTTGGTTCTAAACATATGGATCATGAATTGTTTTCTTATGATTTATCAATTAGATATATGAATCTGTTGTAAACACAGATGCTTGTCATATAAATATTGTACCCATAGTCCAAACCAAGCTTAATCTTAATCACCAGAGCATCCATCCACAAAACATATGTTTGTCATGATAATAAGCAAACATAATATCAAATCGATTTTTAATATTAAACAAATTCACATCATAGCTGATCTAGCATGATTCTTAATGATGGGCTATTTACCTCAGAACTCTTCAAGATGGTTTGTGAAGCAAACGAAACCGACGTGAGTATTGGCATACCTGTTGTCATGCTCCCACAAGACGCTGGCGCTGCATTGATACAGAGCATCATGAACTCTTCACATGGTAAGATTTCAAAATCATCATAATTTCATGTGATCATGTTCAATTTATGTTATTTCTGTTCATTTATGGGTTTGTCCTTATTTTCAGTTTCCATTCAGATGTACTCTCCACATCGTCCTGAGGTTGACGTAGCTGAGGTGTTTCTATGGCTAATGGCGGTTGGTACCATTTTATGTGCATCTTATTGGTCCGCAAGGAGTGCCCGAGAAGCAGCTATAGAGCAGGACAAACTCTTAAAGGTAAATTTTCTTTTACTATGATTTAATTGATTAGATCGGTTTTTGCCAAGTGAGGCTGTTTGAACGACCACTATCTTTTTATCGATCATGGTGTATGACTGCGTGTGTGTTCGTATATGAAATAACCCAATTCATAAAATAACCCAATTCATACTCAATTTATACTCAAAATCTAACTCAACCTTAACCCAACCCCACTATCCTCATTCTTATCAATATAATTAAATAATATTAATCAATCATTCTTACACATCACGTCAACTTTAATTCACTATTTATCCACACATAATTTTAACTAACCATTACCTCACATCATCTCTCTCCTACTTTTATATCAAATCAACTTTATTATTTATTTTAATATACACTCAATATCCCTCTAACAACTAACTATGCTACATTTTTCAACATTAACCGTGGTTAACAGAGAGGGAAAAAAAAATAAAAAAAATTGTTTTGAGCGGATATATTTGTATCCAAGCATGCCCTACAAGAATTTGACAGAAGAAAAAAAAAATACAATTCCCTCAACAAGTCAATGTGATATATTTATGACTATGAAGGAAAAGCTATGTAATAACGATGCTTGAACTTAATACATTTGTAGTTTCGAACATTTACGAAATATTTCAACCTTGCAGGATGGTTCTGATATAGACCTCAGCAAGGACACTTTTGGTTCCAGTGGTGTCGTGGACATAAACACTAAAACAGCAGTTCTTTTTGTTTTTGTTGCTTCGTGTTTCTTGATTATGCTCTACAAGTTGATGTCTTACTGGTTCATCGAGATCCTGGTGGTTGTATTTTGCATAGGTGGTGTTGAGGTATATGCTAGTGATTTTTTTCGCAATTGCAGATTAATTTTCTGGAGGATTTTGTATTGTATGTCAAAATCATTTCATTTTTCTTGGTATGTTAAGTTCCTTCACGGTGATGTGCTTACAGGGTTTGCAGACCTGTCTAGTTGCTCTCTTGTCATGGTATATATTCTCTCGATACCTTGAAGGTTTCAATATCTTACTCTTATTTCCTATTTTAGACAAAACCCGACTGAGATTCCCAATTAGACAGTTCTGATTTATGATATTATTACAAAGTAAAAGTATTTTTATCTCTAAATTACCCACATTTATCAAATTATATTTCAACATAATAGTTCCAGTTCCCGTTTGCATTTTCTTTTATTCGGTGTGTGCTTTATGTTAAAAGGCACTACTCAACGTTTCATATTTGAATGTAGTTTGAGGTGGTTTAGCCATGCTGCTGAGTCGTATGTTAAAGTGCCCTATATTGGAGCTGTATCGTATTTGACGCTTGCTGTATCCCCATTCTGCATAGCCTTTGCAGTTTTGTGGGCAGTTTTTCGTCGTGTCTCGTTTGCTTGGATCGGTCAAGATATACTTGTAAGAACGAATACTCTAATTTGCTCTTTATTGCCCCCAGTTTGACCTCAAGTCTACAGCCTGTCATACAGCATCCATTATCTTGGGTTTTTTTTTTTCTTTATTTATGATTAATTTTTATTTTCTGTTTGGTGTATATATAAAGTTTATTCTATTTTTAATAGAGGTGTTGCGCGATTAATTAGCATTTAGGATTAATTAGGCTGATTAGTCATGAGGTTTGGCTTGTAGAATCTCTTTCTTAATGCAGACTTGTTATTTTGGTTGTAGTTTATGAAATAGATACAAGAATCAACAAGGGGTCTGTAAAAGAGGCTCTATATAGTTTTGAAAGATAATTAGGAGTATGGTTTTTATTTATTGTCCGTAACATTTAACTCCAATAAGACTTGATATTAACGGGACCGAACAGTGGATTCACTTGGGATGTTCATGACATTTTTCTGCAGTATGAAATCAAACATAATTACGGTTCGATATTGTATGTCTTTCTTTTTTTCTAAATTACGACAGAAAATTGACTAGTTCGACTCATTTTTCAACAGGGCATTGCATTAATAATTACTGTTCTTCAGATTATCAGAGTTCCAAATCTAAAGGTAACTTTTTGGTATTCATGCTATCCTTTATATAAACGCTTCTTTCATTGTTTAGCTGCGTCAATGAACGAGCATATGTTGATTCCCACAACCTGCTATTGTTCTGTTTAAATCGGATCAGGTCGATTTAACCTCATTAAAAAAAAAAAAACCTGTATATATTACGTACATCTCTATTTATGTGCATGTTTTACAAATTGTTTCACGCGTAAGGCGATATTTTTAAGAAAATATATGTAATGTAATGAAGATAATCTGAAGTGACAGCTTTCGTAATTCTCTCAGGTGGGAACAGTTCTTCTCAGCTGTGCATTTATGTACGATATATTTTGGGTCTTCATCTCAAAGTGGTGGTTTCACAAGAGCGTGATGATAGTGGTAAAAAATACTACAAACCAACCTAAAAGTGGGGACTCATGAAAGATTCTTTTGTTTAAGTTTGTATAAACATATATAATGATGTTTATTTAGGTAGCACGTGGTGATGGGAGTGGAGAAGATGGCATCCCGATGCTGTTGAAAATTCCACGAATGTTTGATCCGTGGGGTGGATACAGTATAATCGGGTTTGGTGATATTATTTTGCCAGGATTATTAGTCGCATTTTCCCTAAGGTTCGAAGTTTTTTTATTTATTTTCTTAGTTTCTCGTATTTATGCTTATTGAGTATCGAATTCTGCCGTCAGTTTTTAGTGAGAATGTACAACGTAAGTTTTGGTTATACTTTAAGGTGGATAAAATGGAGTTCAGACACCAAAGGAAAAAGGTACAGTCAGATATTTTATAATCCCACTCGAAATACTGATATTTTCTTGGTTATCCTTGCAGGTATGATTGGTTGTCTAATAAGAGCCTGAAATCTGGATATTTTATTTGGGCTATGCTTGCTTACGGCTTAGGTACGATTCGGCTTAGTTAGATCTTAGGAAAAAGAAAAGGAAAAAGTTTATATTTCCCTCGAGAAGAGTTTTTTCCTCGAAAATTGCTCCTCAAGTACGAAATGAAAAGCATTTACGCAGCTTATGTAAATTGTAATTCGAAAGGATTTTCTCTTGGTAGTGTAAATTCATGTCAAACTCCAAGTAACCGGGTTCATTTATGCCTCTTGATCAGATGCAAGTTCTTTTACGAAGTACTGTATTATGTTATCGGATCAAACCTAATGACATTTGATAAGAAAACACATGAGTTGCTATGTTTTGCATAATTTCATTAAAAAAAATGTTAAAAACTCCAGATTTTTCGAAAACAGGTCTTCTAACTACGTATGTGGCCCTCAACCTGATGGATGGACATGGGCAACCAGCTTTGCTATACATTGTTCCCTTCACACTGGGTGAGTAAAGCTCAATCTAATTACCCAAAAAAAAAAAAAAA